CCACGTAGAATTAAGGCAGTTCTGAAGGCGAAAGGGGGTCAAACACCGTATTAGTATGGTGTTCCTAATAATCCTTTAGGTGAGTGTATGTGAATATCTGTATTTTTAGATGCAGACAGATAATACACTCTGAAAGGAAGCATCACAAAGTCCATCATCTTAGAAGCATCTGTCTTGTGAGTGTGATATGATCTCTATGACCACTAACGTCTGCATTTTTAGTCTTGTTGAGAGTCGAGCTGTAAAAACAGCAGTTCCCATTTTCAATGACACAATGTCTAATGTAGATCAGCTCCTCTCTGGCTTCCTCAGTCTTCCTCCTTTCTCAAAAGCATTTCTTTTATGCATTCAATTGCACTATTGCCGTCAGTAGGAGATATTAAAGGTTAGGTAGAACTTCCCTACTAATTTCCATTTGTACACTTGATTTTGATACCAAGCGGTATAGTAACACATTATGATTGGTCAGCAGCCTTGGCTCATCATTTTTGGCGTGACGGGATCATTTGTGTCGCTCTTGCATCTTGCTGCGTCATCCCTGTCGAGGAGGCAGTCTGGCCCACCTCACGTACAGCCATAGCGACGCGGCGGCGCAGGAACTCACCCCAAACTGGATGAGGCGTAGGGTCTCCTTCAGAGCATCCGCTCTTGAGTCTCTGTACTTCTGTAAGGTCTGTATGTAGAACTCGGTGATCTCGTTCACCACCTGGCGCGGGCGAGAGGGAGATTTGTGACACGGTCGCGGTAGCGCGGCATTTTGAACACGGAGCCGGAGCAGAGCGTGCCCGATATTGAGGTGGACGCCTTCGGCACCAAACCGACCTTGTCTTGGTTGGAGAATCCCCAGATTCCAGCCGCCACCTCGGCTGCAAATATGACAAGCAGGAAGAAGAAGAACTGGGGGAGAAGGAGAGAACCGTGAGCTCCGGCGGTCTTCATTCACGTCAGGGACGTAGCAGTACAGACCATAAACTCCAGGCGAACAAAAGCCCCCCCAGACACAGAGTTCAGAGAACTAATGTACTAAACAATTTTTACTTTTAAGTGAAAAACTGAATGCAGGACTTTTTCATTTGACAGTAATTTTACTGTGTGGTAACCTTAGTTTGT